GGTTGAACTGGTGCTTACAGCATATACATTTAACTGGGACAATGTGATTTTCTCAGATGAAAGTTCTGTGTGGCTGTTTCCTAATACACTGAAATTCTGGACCAAACAAAACTGAAAACCTTTGTATCAGCGCCCAAAGTACAGTCCGAAATTTAACGTGTGGGGTGGCATATCTGTGTTAGGGCAAGGCCCCTCTGTGTATTTGAAGGAATATGAACAGTGAGCGGTACACAGATATTCTCGAGGGACATTTACTTCCCTTTGCTCTGCGTGTTCTATGGACATTTTTGATTTTCCGGCAGGACAACGACCCAAAACATCGTTCAAAGCATTCACATGCCTGGTTTCGGACCCAAAATATGACATTATTAGATTGGCTTTCAAGCTTATAGCCCTGACCTAAATGCAATAGAAAATGTTTGGGGACTTATGATGGAAAGTGTCAATGAGTAAAAATCTGACAACTATTGCTGAAATGAAAGAAGAGTTGGTCCGATATTGGGACAGCATGGACCACGACTTTCTAACTTCTTTGATCAAGTAGTATGCCCCGCCGCATTGAAGCCTGCATTGCTGCCCATGCTGACTTGACAAAATACTAACTGTTCACCTGTCTTTGAATCTGGAGTTATGTTCTGCTAATATTCACATTTAACACGTGAGTAATGAGTGAAAAAATAAAAAAAATACAATCTTTAAATTCTTAATAATTTCTGGTTGTATGTAAGTGAGTAGAAGACCAGGGTACTATTAGTCGTAAACCATTTTGTGTGAGGTGTGAATATATACATAATTATATTGATGGGGAATTGGGTTGGAGTTTCAAACTGATTGGGCTGTATTCAAGTGAGGTCCTGTGGACTAGTTCATGACTATAACAGGTGCATGTGTTAAGATACCCCTAACGAACTGTCAGAAACTGGGGCGTCTGAGAAATAAGGTATTGCCACTAGACAGAGGTTCATACCTGCTGATATGCAGTCTTAGTTGATGTCTGACCGCCTCCGTGGTGAAGTGGTTAGAGCGTCCGCCTGGAGAGCGGAAGGTCGCGGGTTCGATCCCCGACCGCGTCAAACCAAAAGACGTTAAAATATGGTACTTGTTGGTCCCTGCCTGGCGCTCGGCATTAATGGGTACAACAAGGACTGGTCGGTTCGGAGTCAGTATAATGTGTCTGAGTGGGGTATTTATGCTTCACTGCGGCATGGTATCTCAGTGGGCTAGCACTATAAAACCAGCTTCAGTCTGGGCTAGTACAAGCAGCCGCACATACACATACACACGCATGCACGTCGTCATATGAGCGAAATATTCTCAAGCACGACGTAAAACCCAATTTCACCTCACCTCACCTTAGTTGATGTCTAGCCAACAGAGTAGGTCTACGATATGATATTGCGAGGTAGAAAGTGTCGAAGAAGAAAAAGAGAAGAAACGGCCGTAAAATATAACACTAGGCGATACGTTACTTGATACAACAGCGGTATATACAGCTGCACGTGAACATAGCATTAAGACGTTGTTATCAATGCTCTTCTTAGAAAGGCCTATCAAGCACAACCAGTCAGGCTATCAGTCGTAGAATAGTGAGGATCGGGGGCCTCTCACGAAACTTCGATGAAACGATTAAGGTTCTTTTTTTATATTAAAGCTATATAATACTAGATGACTTTCATATTTACACATCATCAGCTGTTTAGTGGCATATGTTACTTAAACTTTTACTGTGGATTAAAAAATTAAAAAAGAAGTTTAATCCATAAAAAATATCTTGGATTATCAGAACAGTTTTGATAAAGAGTCCTAAAGCGTTCTTCGAGGTCCTCGCGAAAGGCGACACCTATATGGTAAATTTATGGAATTGATTCAACAAAGGTAAACAAAGGGATAATGATTATCTTGTTTATTTCTCAAAATAATTAATTAAGTTTGAATAATTTTGAAAAGACATTCTCTACCTAAAGCCCGACCCAGTTTGTTTCATTGTGTCGCGACTGACGCTACTCAATCAATTTTCATCACAAACATAGATTAGATCAAAGTTCATTTTCATAAGAATTACATAACAAGCTTGTGAATTCAAGTAAGAAAGCAAAAATGATAAAGGAAATATAATTTTTGGCGAACACCTGGTATCCTCACCATATATATACCCTTTAGAGTTTTTCTTTGCCTGGTACACCACATGGAATCTGTTTCTAAGAATATGAGGTATCCTTTTGCACTGACGTCATGTATTGAGTTATCTTCAGAATGGCATGTTTAGTGGCCTGGGAAACAGAAATTGAATGTTTTCAGGAGTACGTTGTTCAGTCTACAGCGTTCTTCGGGAGAGCGCCGTGAAATTTCACATTAATGCGAGGTTTACACTATGTTCCCGGCGGCAACGGCAGCCCCGTGTCCCCGAAACGGGGATAAACGGGATGGACTTGAGACAACGTGGGGGGACTAAGCGAGCAAACGTGACAGTCCGTGATTGCCGTGGATGCCGTGACAGATTTTTAAACTGTTCAAAACTTTGCCACGGCAGTCACGGTACTAATGAGAAACCTAGTAGGCCGTAGGAAAACGGGGGGAACGTAACATATGTGACAGCACGTAATAGGCCGTAACAAAACTTGTAGACAGTCCGTAGTGGGTCCGTAGTTGGACGGGAGGCATCTCACCGTCCTTTCTAGTTTTGTCACGTTCAGCCACGTTTGTTTGGCGTTTTGTCACGGTTATTTCATCTTTGTTGCCCATTTTGTCGTGGTTCTCACGACAAGCTGGGTTGTATGGTAGCTGATTGGTCCCGTTCTATCAGGACGCACCCAGGCATGTGGCGGTTTACAGGGCGTTCTCTGGCATTCTCTCTCTGCAGCTGATCCTGGCCTTCTTGCTGACACAAGGACTTGATGTATGCCCCCAGCAAACATACAAACACAAAATCTTCTTCATGCTGCTCTTTTGTCTCAGGATACAATGGCTGCTATTGCTTGGGAGGCCTTATTTTTATACCGCGGGCACAAACGTGGTCTAAAACTGGTCGGCGTCCACGTTTCATCCGTAGAAAGTCTTGACAGAACGCAAGAAACGTGACGGAACCCATCAGAACGCTACAGGCCGGGAGCCTAGGCGGGAGGAAACGTAATGGCCTCCGTAGTGGACTGCGGGCAGAACCGAAGTGCGCCTTTGAGCTTCCGGGACTCGGCAGCCCATTTTTCCCAACGGCCCGGGCCCATCACGGATACCGGGATAGACCGTGAGAAAACTTAGCAGGACCTAACAAAACTTGAGTTTGGAGGAAAAACAGGCCAAAATTCCGCGGCGCACTACGTTTCGGGGAAACGGGACTGCCGCGGCCGACGGAAACATAATGTAACCCTAGCATAACATTTCGTTTGATTATCGAGTCGTATAAACGGAGGTCCTTTTGCAAGTACAAGTATTCTCAATCTCGGCTGTCCTGATTGCGCGGTGCGTGGATTAACGAGGTTTCTTTGTCCAGACATCATGTCAGGAGGATACCATCCTCTCTATGAGCAGTCTTCTCACCAGACGGTCGAATTTGTTGATACTGCACAAAAGCTTGTTTCCCTGTACATATTTGTTCAAAGACAACGGTAAAACGCTCATCGATAAGGCTGTTCCTGTTGGTTAGGTCAGTCAATACATGTCACTTAACTTGGAAAAAGATAAACATTTGCAATCAAAATATACTGTTTTTCGTTCATATTTTCCACAAATTATATTCACAGCCATATTGAAACAAACATAAGAAAACGTCGTTGTAAAAATAGACAAGTAATGATGTTGTTTCAATAATTGTTAGCTTCGCATAATTAGTTGAATTAACATTTTAATTATCGAGTGAAACAGATTCCTTTTCTAAATAAAAGGAAAAATGAAGATGAAGGTGACCGTACCATCTTTCCACGTAAAATTGGTACGAAGCATTAATTGTTACTCTGGTTAGAATTTCGTAGTTTCCACAGAGACCATATAATAACACTTTATTATATGATTTCTGTTTTCCAACAATGACTATACCCGTGAAGATCCGGGTTAGAATTGATCTTCAGTAACCCATGCTTGTCGTAAGAGGCGACTAACGGGATCGGGTGGTCAGGCTCGCTGACTTGGTTGAAACATGTCATTGTATCCGAATTGTGTAGATCGATGCTCATGCTGTTGATCACTGGATTGTCTGGTCCAGACTTGAATATTTAAAGACCGCCGCCATATATCTGGAATATTGCTGAGTGTGGCGTAAAACTAAACTCACTCACTCGCTCACTCCCACAATGACTAACGCTTCCGTAATTAGAAATCAGCCACCCGTTCTGGTTTAACAGTTGGAGTGAGTGAGGATTCACCAGCACCGTTCCAGACTTGATGTCACGGTAAATGACCCAGCATCCCCATGAACAGCGACCCGTGTGAATCCGGGCTACAGCTGGTCTTCAGCAACCCATGCTTGTCGTAAGAAGCGACTAACGGGATCGGGCGGTCATATAACCCTCAGGGCCAATCATCCATGATTATGTTTACATTAAGTTTTAACCGATTGTATACGATGGTAGCGTAGCGATTGGAAAAGCAGGCGGGTAGGGTACACCGAAGTGTCCGGCCTTGTCATAATGTATTGTACTGTGAAGCATTTCGAGTCGGGGGTCATCTCAAATTTTATATATTTAAAAAAAATCTTTAATCCTCGCAAAGACACGAGGGCCTGTGATATAACCCTGTAAACTGGGACGACATGAGTGGACAGCATGAGTTAATGAACTGTTCCTGTGTTTTCTCTAGTATGATATGTTTTTCAATAAATGATTGAGTGTGAATCCCGCAAGCTGAGTCTGCGTATTTTCCGTGACCCGAGCTTTAGCGAGTTACGTATATTACGTATCCAAAGATCAGTCGGAAAGTTTAACTATAACACCACGTTACGTCAGGTTTTCAGGGTTAAAGTAACGAGCGCTGCCAAATTTCCTTTTGAGACCTTTCACTGTTACATTACAGAGAGACAGACAAAGAGACAGGTTTTATTCAGTAGTTAAGGCCCAGTGGCCCAAAGTACAATTGAAGATGCACAATTTCAACTATTGGTCACGTTACATGAAATTGTAACGGGGAGCACGTGTTTCTTTTCGTGCCGACATTTTACTTCCGGGTGTTGGTCGTTAACGTTACGTTAACCTTTCGTTAGTCGTGGGTGCAGGAAATGTATTTCCTGCGAGGCTTGGGTATCATACTTTGATTCTGTTCCGTCGGTGGGTGAATTGTTTTCGCCGCCATTTTCTGAGGCAGTCAGGTTGTTTGGTATGAGCAATTCTGATTGGTGGTGGGCAGATTGGCTGACCAATCGTGTCGAGGTTGTTACGTAAGACGTAGGGCAGCTGCAGGGTATTTAAGCGCGCAACACAAATTGTTCAGTGTCTGTATGATCGGCGACCGGTCACAGGTGAGGTTATCCACCGCAATATGTCCCGTGATGGGACAACAACATGTTCCGTGACGGAGCAATGAGTCCCGACTCCACTCCCTGTTAGGTTTCAGTGTATTTTTCGGCCAATAAAGAGAAATTGAATAGAAAGGTATATTTGGGGTAATTTTGTTAGTGGGGACGGCCGGGTGGATTTCAGCATAATGGAACATGCCAGACAGTAGGATTTTCGTATACTAGTGTAGGTGCAGTAGATTGTAGGTAGGATTTAGCGTTATTTCAAGAGGGTGGTTAAAGTGTAGTTGAGAGGGTTGGGAGAAATAGGTGGTTATTAATAAACTATTGTAAGTAATTGTGTTTGTATATCTTTTGTTCTCAGGAATTTGTTAGATTTGACTTATTGTTTATATTGTTTTGTTGAGTTATAATTTATTAATAAATTATGTTTTCATTTGAGAATATTGTTGGTTTTTGATTGCTCCTCTACATCCCCGAACGGGACGGCTTTGATTCAGAACACACAAAACACAACGCAAAGCATCATGGTCATTTGTTGTTAAGGCCGTTCCCGTTACAAAATTATAGTTTGCAAACAGATTTGATAATATCAGCATTATTAGAATTGGCACATTATATATCGTTTGTGGGGCATCATTAGTGCATTTTATACTTCTGTCGGCAGGCAGAGAAGGTATCACAGACTAATAATAAATGGTGTTCGTCTTCAGTTTTACCAGAAGAACAATAAGAGCATGATAAATCTTCCAATGTATTATTATCTTTTCTAAAACGTTGAATTTTTAAGGCATGTAGAGAGATTCTAAATTAACAAATATTTCTTAAAAGGGATTTACCATTAAGAACACTGATATATTTTTCAGGTCCGAACATCGATTTACATTGTGAATAATGACTAAGAAAACTGGATGAATTTACTGATGCGTACCAATTCTGAACAAATATCTTTTATCCTTTGTTTAAATGTTGACAAAAGTATTTTTATATCACCAACATCTTGATTAAACCAAACATAAGAAAACCCACTTGAAAATAACATATTTCTCACATCTGAAGCCCTTGAATGTTTTCCACAAGTATCTAGTGATAACAATAGTTGATAGCTTTGGTGGGGGTATCGATAATCAGGCAGTCTTATAAGTTTAATCCAGTATCTAATAACTCTCATTTGACTCTCAATATGCATGTTATAACGTCCTGTTTCGCCAAGTATGGCTTTATTGGAAGCAAATTTACCTACTGTAAGAAATCTTTTAAAATATGATGCATGGACATTTTCAATGGCTTCGAAATATACTGAGTCAAAAAAGAAACTTCACATTCTTCTTCAGGGCACTTTAAAAGAACAAGAGATGGTAAGATGGTTAAATTGTTATTATTTCAGTGCTGAGATCTGTGTGATGTACTCGATACACTGACAGTGCCATAATCAGTTCCAGTAGGCTACACCGCCGTTCCAAAACATGGGTGTACAGAATGTCAAGTCACAAGAATAAAAATGCGAAATTTCTCAGTTCAATATCGTGTATGGCCGCCCCGCGCATTCACCACTGCCACACACCGTCTCCTCATCGACTGCCTGATGCTTGTGAACACGTGGTTGGGGATTCTGCGCCATTGCTCTTGCAAGGCAGCGCCAAGTTCCTGCAAATTCTGAGGTTGGTTCCTAAGACCACGAAGCCTTCTCCCAAGTGCATCCCAAACGTGCTCTATTGGATTAAGATCAGGGGACCTCGATGGCCAGTCCATGACGTTGATTCCAGCGTTTTGAAGGAAATTTCGTGTCAACATCGCGGTATGCGGCCGAGCATTATCATGCTGGAACTGTAGACCTGGGCCATGAGCCGCCATGAAAGGAACGAGTTCAGGGGTGAGCACCTGGTCGCGGTAAGCAGCAGCCGTGAGGTTTCCACGGATGACCAGAAGCCGGGAACGGTTGTTCCCACAGAAAGCACCCCACACCATGCAACTTCCGCCCCGAATCTGTCGACTTCTGTACAACAACATTGGGCATACCGTTCACGACGTCGTCTCCAGACTCCATGCCTGCCGTCCGCGAATCTGGGGGTAAACCTCGATTCATCGCTAAAGACGACTCGATTCCAGTCTCTGGGTCCATCGGAGGTGACGTTGGGACCACAGCAGACGTTGACGTTGATGAAACGGCGTTAATATTGGGCCCCACGATATGGACGTCGAGAATGGAGATTGGCAGCCCGCAACCGATTTCCGAATGGTCTGTGAGGACAGTCGACCTCTAAACATCTCAGCCCTGGTTCGTGTAGCCGGCAGAAATCTGTCACGTAGGTGACGTAGGACGATTTGACGGTCTTCTGCCCGTGACGTCACACGTGGACGACCCGACCTTGGGCGATCAGAAGTGGTGCCAGTTTGTTGTAGACGACCTCGCAAGTCATACACAGTACGACGGCTGCATCCCATTGCTCTTGCGACGTCAATAACTGATCTTCCCGCTTGCAACATGCCAACAGCACGTTCACGTTGCACATTTGACAATCGTGGCATTTCAAGTACCGTTAGAACTGTGGTTTAAAAGTGTGTTTTTCAATTCTTGAGGCCAATGCAAACACGTGCATATGAAGAAAACTTCGATGCGAAGATCACGTGATCGACTGCACGTGCAAAACCTGATTTGGCACTAACGTCATTTGCACGACGAATGGATGGGTTTTGAGTGGGTTTTGCTAACGTTTTTCTAGAGTCGAAAGATAGGGATCCCATTTCGGATACATAGATGTATCATCAGAAAAACTATTCATTATATTTCAAATTACATTTTGTGAAGTTTCATTTTGATTGACATTGGTGCAGTATAGTGTCAAGAAGTAAGCACGCAGAATCAAATGAAATAAACATTAACTTTAAAACGTTTGAAAATAGAAAAATAATTCTTTAGTTTGTGCTGCGAGGGTTTTACATGCCATGGACCGACTTAATCGACTGGAAAATAAAGACCCAAATATTTATAATATAGAAACAACATTCAGCCACAGCTGCGTATCAAAAGTTTGTTCATCGCATAAATGTAAAGGCTTTTGGTAGGTACTTTTACATTGTAAAAGGCTGCTTTCAGATTAAGTCCAGTGTCTGTTTGCAAATCCTATTTAGCAATTATGCGATCAAATGAGCTCGGGTTGTGTGTTCCTTATCATTGATATACTGAGTCAAAAAGAAACTTCACATTCTTCTTCAGGGCACTATAAAAGAACAAGAGATGGTAAGATGGTTAAATTGTTATTATTTCATTGCTGAGATCTGTGTGATGTACTCGATACACTGACAGTGCCATAATCAGTTCCATTAGGCTACACCGCCGTTCCAAAACATGGGTATACAGAATGTCAAGTCACAAGAATAAAAATGCGAAATTTCTCAGTTCAATATCGTGTATGGCCGCCCCGCGCATTCACCACTGCCAAACACCGTCTCCCTCATCGACTGCCTGATGCTTGTGAACACGTGGTTGGGGATTCTGCGCCATTGCTCTTGCAAGGCAGCGCCAAGTTCCTGCAAATTCTGAGGTTGGTTCCTAAGACCACGAAGCCTTCTCCCAAGTGCATCCCAAACGTGCTCTATTGATTAAGGTCAGGGGACCTCGATGGCCAGTCCATGACGTTGATTCCAGCGTTTTGAAGGAAATTTCGTGTCAACATCGCGGTATGCGGCCGAGCATTATCATGCTGGAACTGTAGACCTGGGCCATGAGCCGCCATGAAAGGAACGAGTTCAGGGTGAGCACCTGGTCGCGGTAAGCAGCAGCTGTGAGGTTTCCACGGATGACCAGAAGCCGGGAACGGTTGTTCCTACAGAAAGCACCCCACACCATGCAACTTCCGCCCCCGAATCTGTCGACTTCCTGTACACAACATTGGGCATACCGTTCACGACGTCGTCTCCAGACTCTATGCCTGCCGTCCGCGAATCTGAGGGTAAACCTGATTCATCGCTAAAGACGACTCGATTCCAGTCTCTGGGTCCATCGGAGGTGACGTTGGGGCCCACAGCAGACGTTGACGTTGATGAAACGGCGTTAATATTGGCCCACGATATGGACGTCGAGAATGGAGATTGGCAGCCCGCAACCGATTTCGAATGGTCTGTGAGGACAGTCGACCTCTAAACATCTCAGCCCTGGTTCGTGTAGCCGGCAGAAATCTGCCACGTAGGTGACGTAGGACGATTTGACGGTCTTCTGCCCGTGACGTCACACGTGGACGACCCGACCTTGGGCGATCAGAAGTGGTGCCAGTTTGTTGTAGACGACCTCGCAAGTCATACACAGTACGACGGCTGCATCCCATTGCTCTTGCGACGTCAATAACTGATCTTCCCGCTTGCAACATGCCAACAGCACGTTCACGTTGCACATTTGACAATCGTGGCATTTCAAGTACCGTTAGAACTGTGGTTTAAAAGTGTTTTTCAATTCTTGAGGCCAATGCAAACACGTGCATATGAAGAAAACTTCGATGCGAAGATCACGTGATCGACTGCACGTGCAAAACCTGATTTGGCACTAACGTCATTTGCACGACGAATGGATGGGTTTGAGTGGGTTTTGCTAACGTTTTTCTAGAGTCGAAAGATAGGGATCCCATTTCGGATACATAGATGTATCATCAGAGAAAAATTATTCATTATATTTCAAATTACATTTTGTGAAGTTTCTTTTTTGACTCAGTATAGTTGGCTCCCCACATTTCTGATCCGTATAACAAAATTGGTGCTATTTTAGTGTCAAGAAGTAAGGACGCAGAATCAAATGAAATAAACTTATTAACTTTAAAAAGTTTGAAAATAGAAAATAATGCCTTCTTAGCTTGTGCTGCGAGGGTTTTACATGCCATGGACCGATTTAATCGACTGGAAAATAAAAGACCCAAATATTTATAATAAGAAACAACATTCATACAGCTGCGTATCAAAGTTTGTTCACTTCATAAATGGAAACGCTTGTAGTACTTTTTACATTAAAGTACTGCTTTCAATTTAATTCCAGTGTCTGTTTGCAAATCCCATTCGTAAATTATGCATTCAAATGAGCTCAAGTTGTGTGTTCTCATCATTGTTGTGCTTTTTAAACAACTTAGTAACCGCTCTGATACTTTAACGGAATCGCAGAATGAAATTCCGGAGCGGCGATCATCGAGACAGAAAGGTGAGTTATACTTTTATTTTGTTATTGTGCTTAAATTATGACATCAACATTTGTGAGGATATATTTAAACTATCCTCTGGCAGAAAGATAGAACAGTTACAAATTTCATTCCATCATAATTAAGCGTATAAAATCTTCCCTGTAAGAAATCTGAACTTTTCTGCTTGAAAGTATAATGTTCCGTTGCTGGGATGCTTTTAGTCTTCGGTTTGAAACATTTGGTAACGCACAATGTGTCGATAATAAACTGTCGTGATTTCTTTACAGAATGGATCAGGCAAAGAAACGAAACTGGACAAACTTGGAACGGAGCAGGATTGTGACATTGAGGGATGCAGGGAATAAATGGAGTACAATTCAGAAGTTTATGGCGAGAGAATACAAGTGTGATGTCTCAGTTAGAGGTATGATCAAGTTATATAAGAAATACAAAGAATCTGGCCGCATTGAAGATTTGCCAAGGTCAGGCAGACCTCGATGTACTTCAAGACGTGAAGACCGAATAATCAGGAAACTGTGTCTGAAGGATAGATATGCTACACTGAACATTATTCATGGTAGACTAAAGCAATCATTGAGTAAACAGGTTAGTCGGATGACTATCTCTCGTAGACTACAAACATTTGGGTTAAAATGTTTTGTCCCTGCCAGAAAACCTCTTCTCAATAAGAAGCAAAGAAAACAGCGATTTTCATGGGCTAAACGGGTCAAACAGTTTCGGCTGCCGCAGTGGAACAAGATATTATTTTCTGATGAATCCATTTTCCGTTGCTTCAGTAACCGAAGACGCATGAGAGTGCGACGTTTCAGCTATGAACGCTACAAAACAGCTTGTTTACAGAGCACTGTAAAGCACCCCCCTCAAGTTCATGTCTGGGGAATGATTTCCCACAACGGGCCAGGGATTCTGAAAATTGTTCCAGGAACATTGAATAGTGAACGATATCAACAACATATCATCAACGATATTTCAAATCATGGTTCCTGTCTGGTTTTTCCAGAAAAGGCTTTGTGTTCCAGCATGATAATGCTCCAGCTCACAATTCCAGATCTACACGTGCTTATCTGGCTCGCAGGGAAATTCAGGTGCTGCCATGGCCGGAAATTCCCTGATATGAATCCCATAGAGACAGTGTGTGGGATATCATTGGGAAGAAAGTAGCAAAAAAGATATGCCTACATCAAGCCATGACCTCTGGAACTCTGTCAAAAATCATTGGTATTCTTTGCCAAATTCAGTGTTCAAGAATCTCTACAAGTCCATGCCAAAGAGAATCAAAGCACTGGTCGCGGCCAAAGGTGGAGCTACTCATTATTGAATAAAGTTCACACATAAACTACTTCTCATTGTGTTTTCCTTGTTTTCCTTTGCCTATTCGAGCTTAAAATGAATGGTTTGAATGGATTTCCTTGGGTGAACAAACTTTTGATACGCAGCTATATTTTTTGCCACGGAATGACCACTTTTCAGAATATGCCACTATACCCCAGTTTCTAAAAACAACTACACTAGATTTTTCCAAAGTCAACTTTAATCCCCATGTGTCACAAAATGTTTGAAGAATATTCAGCTGTCTCTGCAAACCATTTACCATAAATGAAAACCCTAACAATATCGTCTGCAAACAAAAGTAAAAGTAAATCCTTAATTTTGGGAGTAACAAATATTCCATTATTACATGATTTGTACACATTATCTACAAGTTCATTAATAACAAAATTGAACAGTAAGGGGCTTAGGACACAGCCTTGTCTCACACCAGCATAAGTATTAAACGTTTCAGTGTTGCCAGAAATCAGTTCTAACACAGGCTGCAACAGAGTCATACATGCTTCTTAAAATATTATACATTTTGTCGTGGCATCTTTGGTATGTAACATAAATAACAATATCTTACGGTCAACGAAATCAAAGGCTTTCTGAAAGTCGGTGAAAGCGCAATAGAATCTCCCTTTGGGCCTGCATAGGTATTTTGTACATAATGCTTGTAATATAAATAAGTTATCAGATGTACTATAATCGGGTCTAAAACCAGCTTGAGCTTCGTCCAGTAGCTCGTTTAGATCAACCCAGGCACGTAAACGCATTTCTAAAATATTTGCAAATAGTTTTCCAGAAATATTTAAGAGAGATATTCCACGATAGCTGGATGGTTCAGATACACTCCCAGACATGAACAGAGGTACAATCATACCTTTGTTCCATATAGATGGGAATTTACCATTATCAAGTACTACATTGAATATATCTTTCACATATGACACAAGAGAAGTAAAAGTAGATTTGTGAAATGAAGGAGAGATGCCGTCATGCCCCGCTGCCTTAGTCCATTTCAATTCATTTATAGATTTTATTACCTCTTCTTCAGTAATTGGGGTTGACAATATATCGTGAGAGAATGAGAAATCTTCACAATCGTCAGAGTTAAGAATTGAGACAAAATCATACACTGATTTATCAAAATCTGAAAGCAGTTTTTTATCTCTGGAGGAAAGGAGATCTTTGAAGTAATATGATACCATTGATGCGGAGAAATATTATCATTAAGTGCTGTTTTAACGTGTTCCAGAATACCTTACAGTCTGGATTTCTTGCCGCTATTTTAATATCGCCTGCAGCTTTGGCTAACTAATTATCTTTTTCAATTGGCAGCATTTTTAAAATTGTGTTTTGCATTCAAATAAGAATCAAGGTCAGAATCACATTTATACTTTCTGAAACAATTTAGAAGTCTGTATTTTTCGGACTTAAGTTTGCCGCA